ATATGGTATGGAATATATATGTTTATGGTATGGAATATATACCAATATAATAATTAAAATGGCTATACTGGAAAGGCATTCTTAAAGCCATTTCATTGTGCAAACTAATGTAAATTTACATAGCGTACATTCATTCAAATATATATACATACATTTTTGTATATACTTACACTCAGATTTGTCGGAAATGTGAATCTGCACTTTCTTTTGTGTACATTTAGTGTGCTTACATTTTTTTTTTTTCGTTTATTTCTTAATATACAAAATGTTTCTGCGATATTCTTTACGTTTATTTGATTTTATTCGTGAAATTATCTCCTTTCAGAGTTTTTGCTTACTGTTGAACTAGTTCAATAAAACAGTTCATTCTACTACGGTTGCAAAAACGATTAGACCGATATATTTATATTTAGACCGACAGTCATCCGATATTTATATATATATCAGCTTTTGTATGTCGCACTCCTTAATTGTAGCTTAACTTAAGTCGCCAATGTAAATATTATTTAATGTTTTTCAATACAGTTTTTAATTAGTCAAATCACCGACTGGCAATGACAATAACACAATGTTAGATTATTATCGCAATGACTGCATGCTTATCGATTAAAAGTAATTCGATTCCCCCCAAGAAATTTCAGATATAAATGTCAAATGCTGATAAATGTATTTTTTTCTGCACAGAGAGCATTATTTCATATGTATGTATATCAAAGTGCACTTTGTTTATCTTTTATTCCAAAGCAATATTGAAGGTAAAACAACTTCAATCGGAGAATTTATTTTCCGATATGCCACTAGGGGCGTGGTAAATCGTATCGGAAGTATAGTATAGTATAGTGATTTTTCAAGCTCTGCTGTATTTAAGCACTACTAATGCTAGAACCCTGAAATTTTTTATATATACTCGGGTTGGCCACACTGGATCAAAAAGCTATGGCAGATACATCTGTGACCACAGGGGCTTGGCAAACAGAAAAAGTTTATATGCCCTACAGTTTAAGAGTGAGAACTTTCAAATTTGGATAATTGAGTTAATGGTATCCTCCTCTATTAATCCTGCTCTACCCACCAGAGGAGTGTCGAATCGGAATTTGTAGCGCCCAACTAAGAAATTCATATGCGTGTACCACGTTAATGTAGAATAGTAATTAAAATGAAGTGACATTATTGTTGGGACGCCATATAACTAACAAATGCCAGAGTAGCGGCTGGAAATTCAAAAACAATGTAAAGACAAATCAATCGCAATTGAAATTCTTAGAATATGACAGTAGACTCTCGATATTTCGAACCTCTCATTAATTCAAAGTAATCACGAGTCGTCTTCATAATCTCTTTATAATTAAGACAGGCGTATGGTGGAGCATCCACAGAACGGCGCAGGAACCTGGTTTGAAACAGTTGAAGTATTTCAATATTGGAATGGGAGGCCGTTCCCCATATTTAAATACAATATGTCCAGACCGGCTTCAAGATGGTTTTGTACAGCATGAGCTTGTTCTTATCGATGAGCTGCGACTTACGACCAAGTAGCCAGGGAATTTTGCAGCGTTAGTCCCAAGTACTGCGTAGGTAGCGATAAGGAGCATGTCATCATCCAGTTGTGGGAGATCCGCGGTAAATGGTGTGTAGAGAATTGGGCCCAATACGCTGCCCTACGGGACTCCAATATCAGAGCAAGAAATGTCATGCTTTACGTATAAGCGCCGATTTATAAATGTGTATAAATGTTCTTTTCAAAGAATACTTTGAACATACATTACAAATATTTCAGCAGTTAATTAAAAACCCTTGATAATTCCAAGTTTAATTTATATTCCCTCATTTAATATTTTAAAAATACTATAATTCGAGACCCTCGAGCTTCGAAATAGCATACAAACTAGCGCGTGTATAGGAAAGGCTGGAATACTTGAAATTACATATGTGTGCAGACTTATGTACATAGATATCTATTTATATACATAGTTACATATTCATCATACTCCAACAAATCTGAGTATTTCGTATGCATATATAAGAGAGATAGATTAAGGCACTGTGGAGCTTAATCTTACGACTCTCAAAGCTCGAAAGCGAAGTTACGGCAGAATCACGTCACTTAAAGCTTTTACAAGAAACTGCATAATCAGGCCACCGAAAGCTTTACTTTATAAGTGTAACTGCATGATCAGGCCACYTAGAGCTTTGTAACGGCAATGTCATCCGATGCTGGAGCTTTATAGCTGCCAACGCCGACGCATTGCATAGAATAAGTGTTTAGTTGTAAATCAGCATCACAAGGAGAAACTTATTCAACTCCAATGTCATTAAAATAAAGTTATCTTTCTATTTAACCAACCGCGTTGTTTAAACATGTAATTATATATGTATTAGCATTGGTTATTTAAGAAGAAACAAGTTTAAACTTGTAATAAAAATGTTCGAAAAGAAAAAATACGAAAAATCACTAGGGTTGTCGAATATTTTTAAAATATCGTATTGATTATATTTTAAGTTTTGAAATAATATCAATCTGCTATTTTGTATGCAAATTTAAAATATCGATATATCCATTTTGTTGATTTTTGTTTGTACTCTTTCCCCACAATAAGTTTTTAATCCGTCTCAAAAAACAAGTAAGAAAGCTCTAGTCGAGATTGCCCGACTGCAAGATCCCCTTTGAGCACCTGATATTTCAATAATTAATCGCACATGGACACACAGACATACTCACGCCCGCACGCATAAACACGCATTGGCTGCAGTGTGAGCTTACTATGGAATTTTCATTGTTTGATAACTTTTCTTGTGGGTGAACTATCTTCATGATTATGGTTATAACATGGATATGCATGCATTTGTCGCCCTGATCAACAATATATATACTTTGTGAGGCCTGCCACGCCTCCTTCTGCCTGTTACAAACATTTCAAAAACCAGTAATTCCTGATTTCCCATTTTCAATGGGTTGAGGGTATAAAAGTATATAAAGTGGCGCATTCAAGCTCGCGCTTTCCTAATAAAATATCCAATTTATTAAGCGAAATTTGTATGAAAAACATATAACACTGGAGAGGTTTTGAACCCTCGCTACTCTAACATGACCTGCGTTGCCCTAACCATCCACGTCACTGCTTTGTTTGGTCAACTAGCAGCTAAAATAAGATAACCTCAGTGCTAGAGCGTCATCTCACAAATCTAAAGTAACGGCTGGAAAATCTGCAAATCAATCAATCAAAATCCACAATATGCTAGAGGGCACGCTATTGCATAGAATAAACGATGGATGTGTGCACATGATTAGGTAAATCGCGCTGATCCTCTGCTAGCTTGGCGCCGGTATCCAAAATGTAGCAAAACCCAAAGGACTAGAGCACTTTTACTGGTTTTATTATTAGATAATTTGCACAACATTAAAATTTTATTAAATTAAAATTTTCTAACGCTTTTTTACCTGCTGAAATTAGAGCAACCAGTAATAACAATTTCTATTCAATCGTTTGTGAATTTGGTGGCAATGGCGGTGATGATAGGGATGATTATAAATTTATTTTCAATTGAAAAACAAACCTTAGTTTTATTTGGATCTAATGTTTATTGGACCTTAACATGTTAAATCGGGATATATATATACTTAATATATACTTAAAACGGGGTTTTAATATTTAAATAAGGTTATTTAAATAAGGTTTTTAATAGCATTTTTATTCGATGCCATTTTCAATTGATCGCGCTGTAGAATCACAACAATATAATGTTCTATGCGTATTAAAGGGGCTCGGTGGTCTTTGGTGTTGGTTTTGGTTTTGGCGATTTCGAAATGAGCTCAAATGGGATCTAAAAAATACTGGGAACGTAACTCGCTGTGGTACATTATGCAGGCTAGATTGTCCACAAAATATCTTATCGTTATCAATTTTCGACAAATTCTTTTTGAAAAATTGACGTTGTTGGCTCATTGAGTACTTGCGGCGCGACAATCTCTTCAGTCCATTGAACCCACTTGAATTCTAAAAGGAAATCAATATCAAGAAAAATATTTGTATAAATATAATTTGTTCAACCTTAATGAAAGTGTAGATATGGCGACAAATGGAACTATATTCCTCGCCAGTCAGTAAAATATGTTTCCCACCCAATAATACTGCCCCGTTTATCAGCAAACTACCAACAACAAACAAAACATTCACACACAAAAGCGTTCCTATAACACATAATGTCCTGAATTAAGTTTTCTTTTCTTCGAGAAATGAAATAAACACATATATTTTATACAAACATTTCTCAAATCACAAGTCTCTATCATGTAAAAACTGCAAATCTGCAAATATGGGGATATGATAATACGAATCTTCAAAATTCTCGTTCTGTGTATGATATACATTTTGAATAACAAATCCCAATCTCTCTCTCTCTCTCTCTCTCTCTCTCTCACACACTTTCTTTCTTTCTTTTGTGTTTTGCACTCTTACGGACAAACAGACGGACCTGGATACACCAATTAACATGGTTCATGTTCTGCATCCTGATATAAATGTACATTTCGGCACGAATTCGCAAAGGTCGATGCTAAAAAGACTAGAATAAATTGAAGTAAATAATATATAAATCTGAAGTACCTCAGCATTTTTTTTTATGTCAGCGTTTCTGGACATAGATGTTAGCTTATATATTTCATGGTTGTGAAGATGAAAATTTGAGCAACTGTTTGATTTGTAATCAATTTCATCTTCAACATCGGTTGTAGTGCCATCGACATCAACATCGTCGTTGGGGCTTACTGATTCTGAATGTGAAAGGGAGTGTGTTTGGGATTGGGTTGTACTGAGCGAGCTTATATCATCAGGGCAAATGTTAATTGATTCATTTACGATTAAAGTATCATCTTCTGTCGTCTCAATGTCGACAACTTCGTCATCATCATCGGCAACATGCCCATTATGGCTATCATGATATTTATCGGGATCATTATCATCATCATTATCGTTATCTTCATCTGTATTTCTAGTATACACTGGCTCTACGGCTCTCATCTGACGATTGACATTATTTTCGTTCAACTGCTCTATTTGTGCAGCTGATGTTGAATTAATTATTGCACCTGTTGGCAAACTTTCAGTTGTAATGCTGTTGTGTGTGAATACAGTAGTTGTTTGCGTTGGACTTATGTAAACATTGTTAATCGAATCATTTGATCGCGTTGCATACAGCGAAGTTGACATAATTGCAGTCGAGGCGACAACTGGTTTAAAAGCTGAACAACTTAATATTGATGGTATATTGAAGTCCGTGGGCTCATCATGAACTTTGCGATAGTTGGCCGATGTGCGTGGCTCATTTTTAATCTCATTTAATGGTTGTTGCAGATTGCTTAAGTCGGTTCTGATCCATGGACAAGACTCATTTATGGCATCGTTACTATTCAACTTTTTTAATGATTGACTTTGTTGCTGCTGCTGCTGCTGCTGCTGCTGCTGCTGTTGCTGTTGTTGCTGTTGTTGCTGCTGGTGCCACATCGTATAGTCAACAACAAAGTTTCGTGACAGCGGCACTATTGATAAATCGTGCTCGTTGCGGAGCGACTGCAGTGGCGATAATACAGTTGACCGATGCAGATTGAAGCCAGCAACTGCTGTTACACCAACGCCAACACCAACAACAGCTGCCGCAGCCGCAGCTGCTACTGTGCTATAGTTATATTGCTGATTCATAGGTCGTTTCGACATCGTCGTGGTAGTGCAAAGTGTTTCTTCAAGGGTCGTTTTCGTCTCGCGGCTAATGGACGACGAATTGTGGATTGGTGTTTGATCAGTTGCTGGTGAATTTTGATTTGGATTGCAATTGGTGTTACCGCTATTACTGCGGCTACTGTTGTTGTTATTGTTATTGTTGTTGTTATTGCAGCTTACAAGCCTCTTCCTAGTGCCACCATTAAACATTGCCTTAACATCTTCCCAAGCGTGAATTATCTTCTCATCATGACTGTGGCCAGTCAAAGTCATATGACGACGCCAGGAATTGAAGTTAGCTGCATCCGGCTGTACATATCGATCGTTGGTGGTAATGCGATGCGAGTGGAAAATGAATTTATTTGGCGAGAAGAACATTCCACAATAGCTGCACTTAATGCACTTCGCACGCGACGAATTATAGCGTGCGGGCAGAAACGATCCGCGACAGCCCCACGCGCATTTGTGCTGTACGCTAAATGCAAAATCATCGGGCAGCCGAGGCGGTGTATTATCACCCAGAAAGCTCTTGCATAGCCGTTCCGCCTCTCGCCGCGTTATCATCCCGCAGCGTCGGGAACTAACGGGCATAGCACCAGCTCTGCGTAGTATCTCTAGTTGGACGGGCGTGCACTGCACGCACGTTATACCCAGTGCCACGCGTCGATTGTGGATCTCATTATAGCTGAACTGTTTCAAAAGTGTGTTTGAAATCTGGGCCAAGCACAGGCGCTCTTGACCTTCAATGTACAGGGATACTATGGGTATACCATAAAGCATTACGGAGCTTACCTAAAACAGAGCAACAGAGCAAACGTAAATTTGGAAGACTAATTATTATAATTTATTATTATTTAAATACATAATTCATTTTCTCACTGTCAAGGATACGAAATGGCAATGTATGACGGTGTACGCCCTCAAATCAGGGTATTTTAACTGAGCACGCGATATCTAACGTTCTACCAGTGCTGCTAAGTATTTGAAGTAATAATAAAAAAAATAAATCAAGTAAGATGGATCCAGTCGAGACTGCTCGACTAGGAGATACCCTGAACCCTCCAAGCTGATATTCTAATCATTCTGGACTTCTTTTATGCACACATACATACACATGCACTTATAAGCACGCGCTCTGC